GGGGGGGGGGTTATAGCAAGTACATGACGCCGACAACAATGAGTCAAATGAGGGGGACGAGGACGAAGACGCGGAGCAGGAGCAGGATGAAGATGTGGAAGAGCGGGAGGACGAAGATGTGAAGAGGAGGCCGATGTAGGAGCACAAAGGAGAAGGAACACCATGATAACAAATTGACGAGAGAGAGAGAGAGAGATGCTTGTACTGCTCCTCAATGGCTTCTTGCACTGCTTTTGCTGCACCTGCTCCACCTCTGTTCCTTGCCTGCTATGGCTGCCCCGTTGCCCTGCTTCTTCCTCCCTCAGACGATTGCGGTGGTGGCGGGCATGCAAGCTTGAAGATTGTTGTGGGCGGGGGGGCGGCCGAACTTGCAAGGCGGGAGGAATTTGGAAACTGCCCGCGCAACCGGGCTGCCATTATGCAAGAAAGACGTTCAAACGGGCAGAAACAAAGAGGAAGAAAACTTCCCACAAGCTCAGAATAAAATTCCGGCCCTACTGGATGCCTCTTTGCGGCCAGAAAAAACTGGTGCGTATTTTTGGCTGGCAGCCCTGGGCGCAACAAAATGCCCTGGGCCACCAAAAACACATTTGGCCGTTGGCCAAAGGGTCTGGAATCAGGACCGGGATCCGGACAAATTAAACTGGACACCGGACTCCGGCCGGTCCGGATCGCTGCCATGAAACACACAGACACAGGCATTCTCCAACTAGTTTTCAGTAATCTGATCTGTGGGAAGAAAAGATGCCCCGCCAGTGGTGATGCCCAGACTTCACAAGGTGTTAATGAGGAAGAAGAGGGGGAAGCCAACTTTCTACTGACTGGTCAACTCAGCTGGCAAATCAAGCTGACTGACGAGGTGCCATTCGCCAAACAGGACAAACATCTTTACGATCTCGGGATATACCGAGTGACAGGTAGAAACACGAATCACGATGATTTTTCAGTGCGACTCGAAAGTTTCAGACATTCAACATTCACACTCATTCCAATTACAAGGAAAATTACAAGAAAACTTATCTACCCTACTTCTTTTCCTCTCTTTCCTCAAAAGTTTTGCTCCATGAGTACCCTGGTTAAGGTAGCAAATTTGCACACAGCTGAACCCATACGAACAATCATGACTAATAGACAGGCATACATTCCTGTGAGCATGGGAATAAAAAGTACCTGGACAGCTCTTCCTTGAAGGGCCTCATCAAGTTCTTTGGCAAGCTGAGCTGCGGCATTCTGGTCTACCTGAAGCGACACACACGCACATCCGCCCACCCATCCCCACAACCCCATGCCCACACCACCACACACACCCGCCCGCAGCCACAACACGTGATCCAGTCAAAACACACACTAAATGCATATTACCTCAAAGATGAAAGCTGCAAATGATCCAAGACATGTTAGATGCAGAAGCAGCACAGATAGCAGCAGACCCACATGACAAATGAACTGCTCATAAGATCCACCATCGCTGAAACCTGCAAATGATCAAAGACATGCTAGATGCAGAAGCAGCACAAACAGCAACAGACCCACACGACAAATGAACTCCTCGTAAGACCCATCATCACATCTCAGACTATCCTTCACATCTAGTAGTCAATCACCCCAAAGTCAAGCTACTTGTACACCATGCACAAACAGAATCACATCCAGACTGTATGGCCAACCCTCACTGCACCACATATCAAAAGGTGCAAACTGGTAAATAATCACAGCTGAGAAAGGAGCACAAATGATTGGTCTTAAAAGCTTCAACGTACCATTGTTCTGTTTCTTCCCAACCAGAAGAAGAGTAAGTATTCGTCCCTGCGGTCCTTGTTGTATGTAAAAAGGACAAGGTAACAGTCACCGCTGTAGAACTTCCCATGATCCTCAGATGGGACCTTCACTTTTTTAGAGCCATCAATACGCCACACCTGCACAGCAAACAAGTTTTAAATAACGACCTTTTCCGACACTCTTTGTGCTATACAATGTGGACAAACCATTGCCAACCCTCCGCAAAACGGAGAACCTGAGAACAAAAAGATGTGTGAAATGCATGGCCCCACATCCAGAATCTGTCAGACAAACCCGATGAAAACTATTCACGAATGGTAGGATGGGAAAACTTCTGTGCTACCGGAAATCACAAATAGAGCAGGGTTGCAACCCTGCCGACCGCCGACCCCAACCGCCGGCCGTATTGCAGCCGACCAGTTGGACCGACCGGTCGGCCGTCTGCCGACCAGGCAAAAAAAAAAAAAAAAAAAAAACGTCCACTGATTTTTTTTCAAGTACTGCGCTTGCTGAGTACAGCCCAAATCCGCTGAGAAACTCTNCTCTCTCTCTCTCTCTCTCTCTCTCTCTCTCTCTCTCTCTCTCTCTCTCTCTCTCTCTCTCTCTCTCTCTCTCTCTCTCTCTCTCTCTCCAGACATTCCCCCCGAGAGGCCTCAACTACACGGTTTGAGTATGTGGATCAGCACACCATACGCTCATACATTAATCAAGTACTATACTATTATGATTTATCTAAAGCGTGATTTTACTTCTTAAACCACCGGTACTTGGCCCAGCTATCGGCCGTGGAAAAAAATAGAGTAGAAACGTTCCTAGTCGGATGAATTTGGGCGCTCCTGTAGTGGCCCGTGACTTTCCTAAAATCGTGGCTTGTTAACGGGCACAACTTTACGAAGTACTGGTGGTTTAACACCTATGGATTCAACTCCCCTCCTCAACAGAGTCCCGCGAAGGAATCTTTGAATCGCAACCGAGCACGCTGGCCGATCTTTAAGGTCCTGGCTATCGAGAAGAGAAGAATCAAAGAGGAGAATCAAAGAGGAGAATCAAAGAGGAGAATCAAAGAGAAGCCTGCCTTACCCTGATCCTCCACATCTTCTGGACCATAAGAAGAACTTCCACTGTCGAGTTTTCAAAAGATCCATCCAGATCGCGGCCGAGTACAGCACGCAGCATCTCGCCCACGAAGCCAGCACCACAGACACATCATGAGGACAAGTTATCGGCAAAATTGTGGCGACGTAACAGGAAAGAGTCTCACCTGCAGCAAAACTTGTGCGGGCTTCTCACCCCACACAACTTTCCTGTTATGTCGCCACAACTGGTGCCGGAGAACACATGGTCGCGGTCGTTCAGACATTGTGATTGCTCATCCTTCAAGACAGGAAAAGGCTGAAGGCAAATGCTGCACATCCAGGTAAAAACCAAACACACATACATAAACACACCCACACGCCAACCCACCTCCCACCCAACTACCCACAATACAAGCACACACACAAACAGACCGGGGATGGTCATGTGCTGCTGGAGTACTAGCTGACAAGGTGAGTGTTATTTTCATTTTCGCTGTCACTTTTGCAAAATTTGGTCTCTTCGTCCGTGAGGTGGACTTTTCTCCACTTGAGTATCGTCCAACCAATCGAGACGTTGAGTGGCATAAATGAGGGTCTCCAAGTCTCTTCAATAGAAAAAAAGTCAGTCAGGTAGAGTGCTCCTGCCTGTAGAAGAAGGCAGGTGTACAGGGAGCAGACACGGTGCTGCCAAGGGGTGCGGTGCAAGGACTACCAGGAATGGAACCCAAGGGACTACCAGGAATGCAACCAGCTACTGCTGCCAAGGGTCAATTTTGCAAGGAGCAGTACCTGGTCCCATTCCTGGTAACACCCACCCACACCCACCCACCCACAAGTGCATATGGCCCTGCTCCCCAGGGTTGCAACCCTGCCGATCGGCGAACCCGACCGCCGACCGTATTGCAGCACACCAGTTGGGCCGACCGGTCGGCAGTCTGCCGACCAGTAAAAAAAAAAAAAAAAAAAAACGTCCACTGATTTTTTTTCAAGTACTGCACTTGCTGAATACAGCCCAAATCCGCTGAGAAACTCTTGCAGATGTGGGGGGATATGGGGGGTTGGGGTTGGAGTATAGGGGGGGGTATAGGGGTGGTGTAGGAGGTGCTGGGGGGGCCCAGGGGGTAATGAGGGTGTTGGGGGCGGTTTGGGGGCGGTTTGTGAGGGTATATCGGGATATTGGGGGACGCTATGGGGGTGTCGGATGTGTTATTGGGGGTTCTGGACCCCAAAAAAAAAAAAAAAAATCTTTTTTTTTTTTTTTGCAAGGTGCCGACGACCCCCGGCAGGTAGGTGCCGACCAGCCGATCGGTCGGCAGGTCGGCAGCCGACCAGTCAAGGGCCGCCGACCGTCGGGGGGTGCAACAATGAAATAGAGTCTCTGAGTCCTGCTGGACATCTATTAAACTTGAAACGTTACAGAGAAGATTAGCATGGCCCCTGGGCAAGGATGACACACACAAATCGAGATATGGACCAAGTCAATTTAAAAAGCAAGGACTCGAAATGATACAGAGAAGATTACCATGGCCCCGGGCATGGGAACAAAGCTCCAATCTATTCGTGGGGAGCAGCACGTGCTGGGAGCCGGGCCCAGCGTCCCATATAGAAAATTACATAGGATTTTGAAAAAAATTGAGAGTTTGCAGTACCGGGGCCACTACCCAGCTTTGGCTAAGAGCTAGATTAAGAGATACAAACAAGCTACCGAAAATAGGCAAAAATTCAGGAAAAGACTCAGACCCCCCTCCATCCCCTTTACCTCACTCCGGCAAGTCTTACTGCAGCAGAGCCACCATCTCTGCTGCTGCTGTACCCTATTACCATCCTACCAGCTGGCCCCGTCACTAGTAGGACGCTTGATATCCAACCTTCTTCTCCCACTTACCTAGGCGAAGTTTCAGGAAACGTCTCAGAAACCCCCATCCATCCTCGTTACCTCACTCCGGCAAGACTTACTGCAGCAGAGCCACCATCTTGCTGCTGCTACACCCCATTTCCATCCTACCAGCTAGCCCCCTCACTGGTAGGACGCTTGATATCCCGCCATCTACTTCCAACGCCAACCAACGTCGTTCTGACCGCAGATCTACGAATATAACAGCATCTCGAGGCCACCAGAAGCAACTGAAAAACAATTTTGAACGTTTGGGATACCCGGGCCATTACCTGGCTTTCGCAAAGAAAAATTGAAGACAGATTAAGAAATTACTACGGCAAAATTCAGAAAATAGCCAAGAATTCAGGAAACGCCTCAGAAAAACCCATCCATCCTCTTTACCTCACTCCGGCAAGACTTACTGCAGCAGAGCCACCATCTCCGCTGCTGCTGTACCTTATTTCCATCCTACCAGCTAGCCCCCTCACTAGTAGGACACTTGTTATCCCACTTCTCCAACTCACGTAAGCAAAAGTTCAGAGAACGTCCCAGAAACCCCCATCCATCCTCTTGACCTCACTCCGGCAAGACTTACTGCAGCAGAGCCACCATCTCCTCTGCTGTTGTACCCTATTTCCATACTATAGGACGCTTGATATCCCACCATCTACTTCCAACACCAGCCAGCGATGTTCTGGCATCAAACCACCACAGCTCTATGAATATAACCGCATCAGAGAAGCCCACAGTGAGTAGCAAGAAACCCCCAAAATCCTGAAGCGACCTCAAGACCACCAGAAGCGACTTAAACAAAACAAACTTACTCCTGAGAAAAGAGACCCAGATGAGATTATCTGGAAGCCGATATAACCGAAAACATGCTGCCTCAATGCTATCAACAGACTATCCTCAGCTGCCTCAACCCACATATCCAAGATACCAGGCTCTTCCAGGCCTCCACCCCCAACCGCTGGGTTACAGGGCGGCACGACCCACCCCAGCTCCGACCCGCGTCGTCCTAATACCAGCTCGCGGTTAGCCACTGGACTGCCTTCCACCCTCGGCAGTTCCCCAGATCTCTCTACCAGGCGGTCCAAGTCAATTTCTTGAAAAAGAGTCTCTGCACTGCCTCAAGTGTCTGCAGTCACTAGTTATCCCGGCGCAAAGCATGAGGCCGAAATGGGCCTGTGCCCGCTGGGAACAGTCTGCACCCGCCCTAAGCGAACGCGACTGACAAAAACCGACGGCGCATGTGAAGAAAAGGGGGGCCCGTAGGATGGTTGCTGCACGCAACACCTTCAACCAACCAGTAGCCCTGTCAGTTAAAGATGCTGGGGCCCAGCAGAGATGCTGACCCTCAGGGCACTTACAGTTGAGCCCCAGGCACATTCCGGAATGACCCTGGGCACAGCTACTGCGATAGAGGCCGAGCATGCGGAGCGTGCCTCTGCCCAGCCAGCCAGCACATGGACGGACGCAGCGCTGCTAGAGCGTTTGCTTGCACAACGAGCGCCTGGCCAGGAGGAAGAAGGGGGCTGGCAGCGTGCGTGGAAGAAGGCTGCGAGAGCGCAGCAGTCATGGCCGAGCTGCTGGCATCGTACCCGAGGAGGAGGGGTAGGGACAGTGTGTGGGAAGGCGACGAGTGGGTGAGGCAAGAGGCTTACCTGGTGATGAAGAGCAGGAATCTTCATTTCATCATCCGGCTGCTGTAATTTGCTGAAGACCAGTTGTAGTTAGGACGTCTGGGTCAATGGGTACTGTCTGCATGTAGTCTGGCCTCCGTGCACCGAGTAGGGGAGGGACATTGCGGACACGGTGGTCTAGGCAAGAAGAGGGATTTGTTTATCATTGACTTCAGCATTTTCCTCTTCGCTTATCTGGTGTATCTCGTGGTGCAATCTACTTCAATTCGTGCACAAAGCTATCCGGATTTGACGCGACCAGTAAAAGCAACCCAAGCCCATTTTAGACATGCACGGCAATAACACCCAACTTTGCCGCTCATCGTACACCGAACTGACTACTTCCAAATTGAACACTGATACACGAGACACTTCAACCAGAAGTCAAAGAGGATAGACTGTTACATGTCCAAAGCTTCCAGGATTTAGATGCTCAACCTCGGGATTCGCAGACCTACTAGAGTACAATGAATATACTCCCAGGCATGGGCAATGTATCTGAATTTTTGCCAGATTCAACCATACAGTCAAACATTTCAGCTGGGGAAAGACTGTAGCACACAGCAAAAGCAAAGGACGAGAAGACAGCAACTTCAACCAAAAGCCGCTTAAAAGCATACCTGAAGCTTTCCCATGCTAACATCGACCATGGGTGGACCCTCTTCTTCGGGCACAGGAGCAGGCCCTTTCACCAGGCCCTTCACATTAAGCCCCTGCTGAGCAAGCATTGCTGGCATATACACAAACAAACAGTTCCGCACATATTCACTAAGATTCTGATACAACCGTTGACCCACCTTCACCATCCCTCCATTAGTTTAGCACCCATAAAACAATTCCATATCATAAGCCTGGTTCAAAAACCATTAGCAGATTGAGCACGATATGGTTCATTGATTTCAGCAATGAAACCCAAGTGAGTTCGTCATTGTTCACAAATAGCCAAACTGGCATCCACTTTTGTATTGGCGCTCTGCAAACTTCCGCTGCGTTCATATGGCCACGTGGTTGCCTTTGTGGTGATGATGTGGCGTGCACAGGCCTCTTTTCTGCACAGAGGCCATGGACAGAATATCGTCAGCCTCTGTCATAATAATGTGGTGTGCATAGGCCCTTACTTTTTTAATCCTTTTTAAATGCATAGGACCTTGCTGACTTATTATCAGCCTCCGCAGTTCACACTACACCATTGCAGACAATCACAAGAAGACCACAGAAGATAGACATTTCATCGCCCAAGCAGTACCACACATCCCAGTAAGATATTGAGCAAGCACAAGCAAGACGAACAAATGCAAATACAGCACGCAGCAGACCGGTACAAGTATTGGCTTAAACCGCCAGTACATGGCCCCAGCCTAGCTGAAAATGCAACAAGTCGCCAACAAAATTTTCGGAGGCTCGGCCTACCGGACCACAACGGCTGGCAGCACCAGCGACAAAAGAAAGAAAGTACACCGGGTTCGGAAAAGCGTGGCGCGCAGTAAGACGCCTCCAGGCCCAGGTGTACTGGTGGTTTAAAATGCACAAGACATTGTCATATCCATCTTGTAACATCTTGGACTTGAGCTCATGATCTGCTCATTAACAGTTACGTTTGTGCACCACTCCATTCAGCCACATAAATACGGTAACCGACTGAGTTCTCAGCCAGAGCACCAAGAATGGGAGGAATCGGGGGAGTCGCAGGGTGACAGTGGCATAGAGATCGATTGCTAAAGAAAACTGATACCCCGCCGCATATGGCTCTTCTATACTGACGCAGTATGACCATGAGACATTTCTGGCCGTCAAATGACAAGATTGACAAATAACTCCGGAGACAAAAGCAAAGATGTGCATCCAGCTCAGAAGAGCTGCAGGACACACGTGGGTCTCTTTCCACATTACCTGCTACTCTGCCCGTCTTAGATTTCTTTGCCGTCTCTTCAGCAGAGATCCAAACCCCAAAATGTGACTTAAACATGGGAGTTTCCAGCCCTTCTGCAATGGCTGTTGTGGGTGTGAATGATGGTCTCCCATCTTTGAGAATGATAGCCTGGAACACAACAAACAAGAACGAATCATCAGACTCCAAAGCACAAAGAATAGCAATTAGGGAGCCCACCTGCTCATTGAACTTCCATTCACTCACAAATCTCAGTCCGAAGACACCACATTCCTCACCACTTTCAGGGGCTCTGTCAGATCAAGGAGCACACCCCCCAGGAAGAGTGCCCTTTGGATACAAAGGAAACCTGACTTCGCACTTGGCTCAACCAAGTCTATACACCGATACCCCATGTTTGTGGCATGGAAGGTTACGGCACAATGGGCAAAGCGTACAGCAATATATTTACACAACGATAAAGGTATCATAAATGAGCCCTTTCCCACCCTCTGAACACCCGAGCGCATTCTCAGGCACACAAACATGCACCACAGACAACCACCCACGGCATCAATGACAATTGCGTGGGAATTCTCATTCACAACTTACACCGCATTTGTCCCCTTGCCACATAGCTATCCAACCTTGTAAAATATATGCAAATGAACAATCCACAAACAATCTGACCCCCTCCACAGGAGTTGGAGAAACTTGGACCACAGGATCTCACTCGCAAAAAAAGCCCTCTAAAGTCAATCCACAAACACTATACAAATCAGGCCCGACAAAATGAGGCTCTTCCACAACAGCAACCAACAGCATGCAGTGAAACTGCAGCTCATAGGAATAAAACCCACAACAGGCAAGTCTGGGCGACAACATGAAGATCTCGCAGCTAAGCAAATCCAACACAAAGAGGGACTTCCCAAGATCCTCATCCAGGCCAAGAGGAACAACAGTCAATCTCTAACGAGATCATATGCCAAGAAACATAAACCAATCAAATAAATCCTCGAAACCACATCGTAAATGCCCACAAGAACGAACACGATCATGGCCGCTCAACCTACGAGAGGGCTCGCACGAAAATAAGTCTATGTGGTCTACATGTGTGTGTGTGTGAAACATAATCACCACAACAAAACCACTTCTCCCCGTGTTCTAAACAATCATCACAGCAATCCTTTCTTCACTCGTAAGTACAGAAATCGTCCTCGTAACAGCTTTTCCATGTGAATTTCTTTGCGGAAATGGCCATTTCAGTGCTCCGAATTTGAGTGATGTGAGGCTAGCGGTAGCCACATTTGTCTATTCGAGCGCTAGGTGCCTACACCCAGCTGCCTTTTGGAATACTTGTGCCCCTAGATTCTGCCTTTTGACTCTGTAATGGCCATTTCTTTATCTGATCATGGATTCATCTAGACAGTCAGTGGCGAGTGATTTGCAGCTCTGCCCAGCGAATAGGAGAAGAGAAGGGAAAAGGGAAAAGGGGACGGACCTGATAAGATCCTGATTACTCACTGGCACAATGGACTGCAATGTAGGGCAGTTATCACTGACAGCTCAAGGTCGCATGCGAAGAAAAGAATTGGAGCAGCAGTGGCCACACCCACAGAATGCCCACGACCAGTATGTGGCACATACAACTATCACAGGCAATATGGATTTCACATTCTAGCAACAAAGGCATGGCGATTCAGCGTAGAATAACATCCACTTCCTAACCGGACATCAGCTGGGTCACAGTCACGAGTGTTTCTTCAACTCGTATTAAGCTTTACAACCACAGGCGATGACAGGGTTGGATCCAAATCAACAATGGCCGGGAGTTTTAAATTCCGTCGCCCGCAGGAGCAATCTGCAGCTCAGCATGCCTAAAGAACACCTTCCATTCCTGAAGCAATCAGAGAAAGTCTAGAACTGCATGTGGGACGTCAGCAAAAAGGGAAAGAGGATTGTAAGATTGCTGGTTATCTACACAGCGAAGGCAAGTAGTCTATGACAGACCCCTGGAAACAGCACCCACAATACCATGTTGTTGGCATGTTGAAAGGAAGGAAGAGACACACTAAGATTAATTCAACCAAGACATGTCAAGGTCGCACCCGCAAATCAGGCAGCTAACAAGCATGTGAGGATAATAAACGCAATACAACGATTTGTTGCCTGTGACAGTTATTCAACCAAAGGTGTGTCGAGGCCATGCCCGCAAATCGGGCAGCTAACGAGTGTGAGACAATGGATGCAAGACAATGACAAGTCACATTTCGAGTGGCGAGTCACATTTCGAGTTGGCAGAGGCTGACATGAAAAGTTCTAATGGCAGAGGTTGTCAGTGACCACCTGCATAGTAGTCAGGACAGACTACCTGTGCATGGCAACCAGACTGTGCCTACATGCTCTCAGAAGTACACGGCTCCATGAGAGTGCCCTCCTGATCAGTACTGGCATAGTTTTTTTAGCGCTGGCAGACTTTTTCTGATCTCCATGGTAAGGTACAGCGACTTCATTGAGAGCAGGAGAGGGGAGCCAATTCGCTGAATTCTCTCCCAGTGAGAACAGAAGGTGCCAAAACGACATACTGTTCCTGGCCAAAATACCATAATGACTGGGACTCGGCCTGTTCATAAGACTCAACCATGAGCCCATGGATGGGCCATGGAGCTTAGGGCGCGAATGGTTCATGGAACAGAAGGTGCGACAACAACATACTGTTCCTGGACAAAATGCCATAGCAAACAGTAATTTGACTCACCGTGAGCCCATGGGTAGTCCATGGAGCTCAGGTCATGAAAAATGCAAGGACTGTGTCCAGCATATGTGCAGGATCTGCAGATAACAAGCTTCCACATCAGGCCTGCTTCGGCAGGACAGGCCAACACTTTTATATTCACAAGAGCTGCAGCAAACCCATAACCAGGGCAGACATTGTCGTGCTCTGTCTTTGTTCAGCGGCTGAGGCCTCCAAAGTCAGAAACTCTATAGGGGTTGCAGTTATAAGCGATGGGGCACACATCAATAGCACAGTCTGTGCACTGCCCACGAGGTCGTACACAGATCGTGTGTGTTTGCAGCACTTCAACATGCATTGCACACACACACACACACACACACACACACACACACACACACACACACACACACACACACACACAC